CATGATCGTACCGAAGAAAAAGAAATGAAGCGAATTTGAGAGGCACGAAAGTCTTTTTGTACCGCGCATTGACTGGCGTTTGCTTTGGTGCCTTTCATTTGTTGTGGTGCCTCTCATTTTTAAAGGCACATTAGTTATGTGCCTCTTACGCGAGAAAATACACGGTACATTTAGCCTGTGCCTCTGAAATCAGAGGTACAGTTTTTAGAGTGTAAAGATGACTTGTAGTTTGCAATTTCAATTTTTTTCATTATTTTACTTATATTTTTAGGATGAAACTAGTAGTTTAGTAGTTTTACTGAGTTAATATGAATATAAAAATGAATGCGTATATAAGCGATTGCTTGCTTAGAAATATAGTTTAAGTCGTATCATATTAAAAATTCCATTTTTCAAAAATAACTAATGAATCAAACATGTATATTTATAAATAAACTAATAATGCAATTTTAACAACTCTGTTGAGTTGAAATGATATAGTCCTTAAAAGTTACACTAATTTATTTATTTATTTTGATGCGTAGTTTTTTTTTGTTGAATAAAATGGCATTGTATTATATTTTATTGCAAAATTAACAAGTGTGAGAAAAAATGAGACCATAATAGCAAACAAATAATTAAAACTTAGAAATATTTATTAGATGTAATTATAATTAAGTAATGATTATTTAGGAGATTTATTTTATTCAATTCCTGCATAGATGCACTTCTGCTGCACAAAAACTAACAGCATCATAAATTTCTTCAAATATAAGAAACAATTATATATTTTTATTACTCAAGCTTATATGTTCAATTTTATAATAAATTTATCTGCAATCCTATCTATAGAACATTTACTTAGCTTTTTAACTCTAAGATTGTTATGCAAACATTATTGCATATCTAAATCGAAAAAAATAATGCTAAAGTAAAATAAAATATATTTCTGAAATTTTTTAAGGAAAAGAAAAGATATCTGAATATGAAACAAATTGGTCTTATATTTTTCCATCTCTACTGTTTTGTCTGAGTCGTGATGTTTCATTGGTTAGAGACACTGAGCTACCGAGCTGTCATTTTGAAGGACTGAGGTTCGATACACAGTAGAAGCATTAAGCCAAATCAGCTTAATGATGCTAAGCAACTGTTTGTCTGGGAAGCACAGGTAGCTTGTGAGCAATGGTGATCACAATACCACAATTATGCCGATGGTCACAAAATATTTAGGCTCTAATCTCTAAGCCACACTGTTAGAATTTTCATTCTAAAATTATAGTAAAATAATCGGCAGCACTATATTCATCGAATTAACTATAGAGTTTACGGTAAAGAAACTTTTTATCAGGAGATAATTTAGCAGGTTTATGGTGCTGCCATCTTTGCATGAATGAGAGTATTGTATTCTAATATCCCTGGATCACAAATTGGAGAGGGCAGGACACTGGAAACATTTCATGTAGTGAAGGAAATGGAGTAAATATTGTGGTGTCAGCGTTGGGACTCGAGCCCACGATCTGACCATTTCTTTAGAGAAAATTCAAATTTATTTACTAATTTAACCCTTTTTTCGAGAAATTTCTATTAATACATTTCTGTCTCGTAAAAGAATGATGCGAGAAAGCTTTTAATATGTTACTAATTTTCTTTTATGCATTAAAAAAATTAAGCGATAACCTTAACTTGTTCGAAAAATATTTTGCATAATGTTTTTTTTTATTTCGCTTGGTTTGTCAAAAGTGAGGGAATAATAACTAAAATATTGAAAGAAAATCATAAAATAACTGCGAATATAAATGCAGCTTTGCAAAATATGAATGAACAAACGAGGTATTTTCTTACGATTTGCATAAATTTACATCGGAATAAAAATATGAAAACGTCTTAATTTCTGAAATAATAGTACGATTAATCTATCTTTAAAATTGACAGGAATAAAAATTGAGCAAAACTAGACATCAAGAAAAGAACAAATCAAAAATATATTCCAAGATATAAGCATTAGAATAATATTTTCCCTTCATTAAAAAGTTCAATCTTGATACGTTATTAGTCCTACTATTAGTACTCAAAATGTTTTGGAATTAACTATTTTTACAGCGTCCGAGAAACAGTTTTAATTAAAACTGTTCAATAGAAACTGGATTATGTTGCTGTAATTTTAATTATTTTAAGGCGCGTCCGTTAGAATCGGATATAATTAAGCAAAGATTTGTTTAATTAATTTTCTAACCTTCTTCTTATTCACTTACTTTTCATATTCTGATAAATGCTCAGCTTAGTTTAAATGAAGTCCATACATGAGGGAAAATTATCTAAACGTCATTTTGATTTTCTTTAATTTTTGCGATCTTAAATGAGAAAAGAAATATTCTGAGTTAATTTAGTTATGGAAATTAATAGAATCAAAACTTTCAGAAAAATGTAAATGATAATTCCACTTTTTTCAGTTTTTTTTTCAGATTTAAAAGCAAAAAGTATGGTTTTAATTTATTTTGAGATTTCAAAAAATATTTTTCTCGAATCGTGACAGATCATTTACTTTTTTAATCAAAGTAATATTCCTATAACTTAATTTTCTTGAAGAAATAATATCTCTCACAGAAAGCGTTTATATCTTTTTTAAAAAAAAAATTAACGGTATCAATTCAATTTTGTGCTTATTAGGCATGGATCTATAAATAATTATATCAAAACTGAGAGTTGCATTATTATTATTATTTTCTTTTGCAGAAATAAATTATTTCTTAGAAGTTGATGCATTTTATTTTTAAAAATATGAATGAAGTATCAATTTACTTTTGTTCTAATTATGCATATTATATGACAAAAACTGCTGTTCCTTTGCTAATTAAAAATAATGACATAGATTACTTCTTAATTATCTGCTGCTATCAATTTATCTAAAAATTATTGCTTTGTAAGTGAAATTCCAATTAACCTTCTCAAGATTGCTTTAAAGATTTTCTTTTAATTCTACGCTTTATTAATATTTCTTCAGCTGAAAACATTTTATCATCAAACAGATCAGTTTTTAAGAATTAAGAATTTTTCATAGTTTTTGGTGGTTGGAAAAACGCTTTGAATTAATAAATTATTAATATACATATCCATACATATATATATATNTAAAATTATTAGATTAAATTATTTTCTGATCAATTGATATATTAATCTTAATTATTATTTATATTCAAATTAACAAATGTGTTTATAAAATTTATGATTCATAAGCTCTCTCAGATATGAATTATCGAGCATTTTCCCCCATGTAGATTTCGTAAATAAGGCTTAGTTTAAATTTTCAATTTTTATTTATACGAATAAATTATTTTATAGAATAAAAAGGAATTATTGTGTATATAATCTATTATTTATACATACTTATATGTATTTTTCCGAAATACTTATACATACTTATATGTATTTTTGTGCGATTTATTTTAAATGTAGGCATTTTTCAAAATGTTTTAAATGCTAAAAACCAGAATTGTTGATGTGATTATGAATGTTTTTTATAATGGATAAATAATTTTCAATATTAAACTGCGCTACTTTTAACTATTTTAAAAAAATTCAAATATTTTTTGAATCTGTTCCAGAAGAGTTTTTAAATTTTTTTACGTGCTTAAAAAGGAAGTAGTACTCCAAATGTTTTTTTAAAAAATACATGCATATTTTTTGATTAAGAGTGTTTTAAAGCTTTTAAACATTTTTGATGAAATAAGGTTCTTATTAAATTAAAAAATTATATCATACATTTTAAATCACTTTTCAATTCATATATTATATAATTATAATGCATAGTTCCATTAAAAAGCAACTTTTCCTAAGCAAAATACAGATTTTACAGATATACTTGAATGTCTGAAAGATTTACTTACTACAAATTTATATTAACCGGGAGTTGAATAGGCTTTAAAAAATTGTGTTACTATTCTACACTGAATTAAAGTTCAATGCATGTTATTATGCACATATCGTATCAGTTATATATTTTACAGTATTTTAATGTCTAAAAGCCGATGTACCAGTTTTCATTAAAAATTGATTCCATTAGGCATATAAGGAAGCACAAATAAAATTATTAGATTAAATTATTTTCTGATCAATTGATATATTAATCTTAATTATTATTTATATTCAAATTAACAAATGTGTTTATAAAATTTATGATTCATAAGCTCTCTCAGATATGAATTATCGAGCATTTTCCCCCATGTAGATTTCGTAAATAAGGCTTAGTTTAAATTTTCAATTTTTATTTATACGAATAAATTATTTTATAGAATAAAAAGGAATTATTGTGTATATAATCTATTATTTATACATACTTATATGTATTTTTCCGAAATACTCGTATAAATTTTAAAAGAAAGAAGGATAAGTTATATGATTATGTTCAATTCTTAAAGTTCACGAGATATGCGTAATTCTAAAAAAAATTAATCAAATATTTCTTTTAGTCTTTTTTATCATAGATTATTGTACATATAATCTATTATTTATATGCATTTTTCGCAAAATAATCTCAAAAATCTACAAAATACGAAAATAAAATTTTTACAATAATGTTTATTTCTAAAAGTTCACGAGTTTTGTTTAATTCAAAAGAATTAATGAACCGCTTTCTGTGATTCTTATTCGATTCTAGATTATTGTATATACAATCTATTATTTATACTTATTTATATGTATTTTTTGCGAAATTATCGTATAAATTTACAAAATACGAAAGTGAATGTTTCACGATACTGTTTATTTCCAAAAGCTCAAGAGTTATCTCTTCCAAAGAATTAATGAAACACTTTTTATAATTTTCTTTCAATAACAATTATTGCCTGTTAATAAATCATAAGAACCTAAAAATCTGGTTCGATAAACGAAACTCTTCCTCGGTTGATTCAATACCCCCATCTATAAAAGATTTTGCAACTAATGGCGAAGTTGGCGAGAGTCGTGGATCACCTTGGCGATTCGGCCCGCGCAAGGAAAGCAACCGTAGTGTTCACGAACTCAGTGGCTGCTCGCACGGTCTCATTGTTACACAGTTTGTCTTTATGACTTAGTGGTTTGAGGTACGCTTTTCTATTTTTCCTCTTCAAAACTTTATCCTCGTTCTCTTTTCGATTCATTTTTCTCTCATCAATGTAATCCACGAGGAGAAAAACATTTTTCTCATTCTCAACTTTTCATACGCAAGTTTGATACGGGACGTTTTGATTAATTCTCAACTTTGTTTCAGGTGATGTTGATCAAAAAATGGATTCTGATTTATATACGGTAAACTTATTTAAACAATAATTTCCGATCTGGTGTCGTAAAATGAGATCGTTGGTTTTTCTTTTATAGTTTCGTGAATTTGTAGTTTCAAATACGAGAAAGATCATTTCGTAGTTGTTAATGCGCAAATTAATAATATAAATTGCAAACTACCGGGTTGATTTCTAACTTTTATTATCAGTTGATATCTAGTGATCAACTTTTGAAATTTCAACATGCTAAAAACATTCTTCTAAGCGACTAAGCTTGTACTGCTCTCTACCTAGTATTCGAGATTATTCTCTATTTATACTGATTAGAAAATGATATATTTTTACATCTGTATAAGCTGTGCAGAATGATAAAAAGATACTTTTAAAGGGAATAGTCTTACATTATGAGAACTTCAAATCATAAAATGTGTTTTCATTTGATGTCAACAGAATTGTGAAATCTAGAAACTCTTATAAATCAACAAGATTATATAAAAAAAGAAGTAAAAACTGTTATTGATTAAAAGAAACTATGAAAATCATTTCTTTCAATTTTAAAAATTACGTATATTAAGTGATAAAACCAATGTATTTTATTGTATTAAATAAATCATTAGTCATGTCTAAAACTCTACCTCCGGCTAAGAAATTAATTTTTATATGACACAAGACTTGAAGAGAAGATACCTTAAATATACATATTAATATTTACGGATTTATACGCACATATAAAAATGGGGAGAGATTTTTGGCTAAAATCATCATCTTACCAAGCAACATCTACAACATCGTGTTTGTACCATTCTCCTCAAACTCAGACTCATAGATATCGAAAGAGATTCTCAGTTGAAAATACGACTTCCTTGAAAACAAAATTGGCAACAACTGGTTCATCTTGGGACATTACCACTTGGTTGGCTCAAATTAAAAATTTTACTCTGAATAACCGCTATAGTTTAATAGTATCTAACATTTTGGATGTAATGATGTACTCAATAATTGTGATTGCTTGCATAGCCAGTTATGCAAATTCAATGGACGGAGAACTAGTACATGATGATATTGTGTCCATAACTACAAATCCTGATGTTATAGGAAAAAATCCAGTCAAAGATATTTTCTTAAATGACTTCTGGGGAAAACCTATGACAGATCCTGAAAGCCACAAATCTTATCGTCCTTTTACAGTGCTTACCTTCCGGTAAGATTTATTTGATTCTCCCTTTACATATCTATTTTTACTATTTCTGATTTTATTTAAACGAAACTTAATATCTTAAATTAGTTTAAAACAGCTGAATATATTTAGGGGGTATTTTTTTTAATAATTTAATCCTGAGGAGAAATTGTGAGACATTGATGAGCCCTAAATTATATATACCATTCTTTTGGCTATTTTTACGTTCATATGCTAATGGTTGAGCGGTTCATATGCTAACGGTAAAAATACAAAACTGAAAATTAAATTTAGACGAATAAACAGTTTTTATGCCATACTTTTTGGTATCTTGATAAAATTACCAAATTTTACCACACTCACCTAATTTTATCACATATTATAACGCCATATTTTATTGTTAATTTTACTAAATTCAAGCCAATAAAACCAAATTATACGATATTTAAATCATTCTTTTGGCAGTTTTTACTTTCCTATGGTAACGATTTGCCTGACATTCTGGTTTTCAAAATTAAAGTTCCGGTAACCACACATTTAATAAAAAATATAAAACTGAGAAGTGAATTTAATAGAATAAATGGCTTTCGGGTATAGGTATCATGATAGTTATCGTGATATAATTACCAAATTTTAGCACAATTACCAAAGTTTATCACAGATAATAATTATAATATATTACATCAAAATTATTACCAAAGCACTTTGGCAAAAATTTCCCGAGCTCTTTGCTGTCCCTATAGAGTCAGAAACACCTTAAAGTTTAACATACTCTGGAGCTTCGACCGTAATTTTTTTTCTCAGTGTATATAGATAAATTATTTAAATAAAGTTTGATTTAATTAATTTGTTGATTAAGTTGTTTAGGGGACGTTTTTTAAAAAAAAATTTTTAAATCACATGAAACATTTGAAAGTTTTATTCTGAGTATTTAAATGCCGCATTTTTTATATATGTTGTTGGAAACATAATATAAAAACAATGTTAGACCCTAATAAATTTTTCTGTTGATACAATTTTTGTCTTTTTTTTAATAAAAAAGTGCTTAAATACTAATGAGAATAATTTTTTTCCATATATCAATTTGGATTATCTTCATCTTTTGGTTTTTTATAACTAAAATCATTTTCCTTATTAGTGCTGAGCGATATTGGTGTTTCTGTACTACGATATATCGTCAGAAAATATTAGTATTTTCTGATGTACCGCGAAGATGAATCAGCTTAACTAATTTACATTTTTTTCACGATAGGAAATATTTTTTTTACAAACTTAAATATTGTTCAGAGACTCAAAATTTCATAAAATCAATGAGTAATTATAAAACTGAAACAGTAAATATCTGTAAGTGTTGGCGTAAACACTCACAATATTATCGCAGTCGAAAATTATCGCGAAATTGTCTTATTTAATAGTTAACTTTTTCTATAGTTACTACGATATTATCGTGTTTAATAAATAATGTTCTGCATAATGGTCCTAATATTATCCTATTAGATAATGGTAAGACATAGTCTGCAAGATATAGGGCAAAAATATGTTCTAAAATATCGATATTAGAAGTATCGATATTTTTAATTTTATCGATTTATATACCAACTCTAACTTTTAGTTTGCTCACGGCAACTGATCACATTCAGGAAAGCTTCTTGCAATTGTTTGATACTGATAACATTCGTGAAACAAAATAAAATTTAAATTTCATATGCATATTAAAATTATGTTTTTAAGATAGAATTGGTAATAGTTTTAATCCTTACACTAAATCATGTTATTTCTTAATATGGATATGTATTTATTTCACCAAACAGACTTGTCATAAATTAAAAATTATCGATTCATAATGTATAATACTTAATAATGTATGATGCTTAAATGTATATAATTGCATTAATATATATTTGTATTAATATATTGTTTTAATTTGAAAGCTACTTTGGGTTTAAACAAAAATGTTAAATATGTACGATTTTAGCTAAACACTTCTTATTTTCTTTGATTGAAATTAATAATATTACCTACTCATAATTTTAAAATTCATCTGGGAGCTAAAAAATCCCAATTTGTAAAACTTTTTTGTTCATATATAACTGTAAGTTGAGTAATTATAAGAAAGCAATATTTGCGCTTTTATCACAGTAAAATGAAGTACATAGCATTGTCACAACCCAGAGTAACTACTATGACTGAAGTATGACAAAGTCTCTGTTGTTTTTATTGCCATTTTATGTTTATATTATATTAGTCTTCATATTTAAATTCAAAACTTAAGTATGCTTAAAGATTTAATTATTGCATAAAGCAAAGGTCAATTTTGTTTTGGATTTAGTTTAAATTACCCTTCTTTTCATTGAAAATTAGAAGAGTGATTTTATTTGTTTTCTACTGGTTTGTTTTCTGAAAACTCTAACAAACACATAAAAAAAGTTTTTATTATTTATTATATTTGACATATCCATGTTTACGCAAATATTCATTGTTTATAAAAATGAAGAAAATCTATTCCAGATGAAATATTTTAATTAGATTTAAAAAAAATCATAAGGGATAAGGTATAAAATAACGATTCCTTGTCTTTTTTCGAGACACAACCAATACACTCAGAAAAAAGTATGGTCAAAACTATCAGAACATGGTAGCATTTACAGCGTTTGGGAAGTCCATGGGAACACCAAGGAGTTCGGCAATTTTTGCCGAAGCGCTTTATTGATGATTTTAGTAAAATTGGCAATACATATGGTTTCATAATCTGTGATAAAATTTGGTAATTGTGGTAAAATCTGGTAATCTTATTATGGTACCTGCGAACATAGCCTAAGAATCATTCATTCGGTTAAACTTACTATTCAGTTTTCTATGTTTTACTAAATGTATAGTAATCAGAGCTAAAATTTCAAAAATCAGAATTTCCGTTAAACAGTTACAATATGAAGGGAAATTTACCAAATAAACTGTTTAAATACTTCATATTTTGGTTTCGTAACCATATAGTAAGAAACTTTTTCCAGATTTTGCTGCACCGTGTATTATTAAATAAGCAGTCAGAAATCAGTTGATAGGTTTCAGTCACCATGAAACTGCTCATTGAATGGCATTAATGCTCACGAATAATTCAATAATGTCATATTCCGTTAATAATACTTTCATTTTCTCATAATTCTAAACAAACATATGTGTTTTTAAATTTTCAGCGCAATACATCTACACATATTTCAGAAAACGAAATAGCAAAAATCTAATCCTAACTAAATTTTGGGTCGTACTTAGTTGCGTACTTATGTTAACAAAAGGTTTTCCTCTATATTATTCACAAGAAAAGCCCTGCTTGGCAGGAAGTTTTTTATACACAGTGGCAGAAGCAGTTAGACAACTAAAAGCTTAAAATGCTCTGTAAGCAAATATCATCCTTTTTTCTATATTTTCTGGAAATTAAAATATAAAATAATACTTATTCATATCATAATTAAGTGTTTTACACCAGATTACAATTAATTTCAAATTATTAAAATTACAGTAGCATAAAGAATAATTTAGTTATATAAGTAAATTTTTTTTCTTCATGTTATTGTGAGGAGTTGCTTTTTGTTCTTAATTTAAAACTAAAAGAGTTTGATCCATTATGTATCATTAATGAAATTTCCTTTTCAGTAAAGTTATATTTAAAAAGCGCAACATCGCGGAGAAACTAATTCTGGTAAAATTACCGAATGCATGGTAATGACATTTTTGGTAACAAAACTATAATTCCAGTTATTAAAACCAAAATATACGGTATGTCTATACCATTCATTTGGTAGTTTCTCCGTTCCTATTGTAACGGTTACCATTAAATTCTCATTTTAAAAATTATAGTTCTTATTACCACACATTTCGCAAAAAATGCATAAGTGAAAAGTAAATTCCACTAAATAAATGGTTTTATTACATGCTCTAAAGTATCATGATAAGGGTACCAAATTTTATCACATATTACATAACGATATTTAATTGTCCCTTTTACCAAAATCATTAACAAAGCACTTCGGTAAAAATTACCGAGCTTTTCGGTGTTCCCATAGAGCACGAAACACGGTAAATTTTAGCATATTCTGCTAGCACAGACCATATTTTTTTTCTCAGTGATGTAAGCCAAAAACCTAAAATCATTAAATAGTTAATTTTTCGTTTTGCATTTTTTACAACGTTATAAATTCTTATTTTAACAAGATAGTCATTAAAAAACAATAATCGAGATTTATACACGATCTGTCACAATAGAGAATAAATTAAATACTCGGTATAATTTGTTAAATTTATTACTATTATGTATTTTTTATTATTATTATATTTAATTTTAGTATTAATTAAATTATTACTAATAATTAGCATAAAAATTAGTTTCTTGTATGATAATAAATTAATAATCAAACTTTATTATATTAAACTTAAAAATAAATAAAATGTTTCAAGAATATATCTTTTCATTTTAAATATATATATATATATATATATACAGGGAGA